TTTTTTTCTTTTTTTCGGAGTATAATTTCGTATGTTTTTTATGTTTGTTTTTAATCATTTTTGTTTGCTTTTAAAAAAATTTAAGTTTTTTTTTTGCCCCACTCCTTCTTTCCTTTTGCTTTTGGGGCAATCACTATGAACGCTTTTTTCTTTTCTACTCTTCCCTCTCTTCAATTGTTTCTTTTGCACTTTTCCTGTGAGGGGTGCCGTGTTTCCCGCCCAACTGCTCCACTCGCACACCCACCGACACGCTCATGACGACGGCCCTGTGCGCCTCGCCTGCTGCACGCATGAGGAGGGGCCGCGACGAACGGCGCGCTGAGGGAGCCGTGACGTGTGGGCGTGCGACGAGGGCCTGTGGGGCGGAGCACACATTTCTTTCCCTCTTGTTTTTTTTCTTTGCGGCCGGGGCGGGCAGACACCCGCAGCGCCACACACACAGCCACACCCTGCCGCCGTGTTTTTTTTTTGCTGCGCTCACTCTCCCGGTGGAGAGACGCGACTGCCGTCATGTCTGCGTGCTTCTCTCAGTCCCCACACACACGAGTGACTGTGCTCTGCGGGCCGCACTCACGCGCCGATGAGAGGGCTGAGGGGAGCACCAACACGCAGATGACCCCATGAAATATAAACGGTGTGCGGACACACAGAGGGTCAGACGGTTAAAAGACACGTAATTATGTAATTTTTTTTTTTGAGCAAAATAAAAAACGGTTTGGTATGACCACACAGTAACCGGGTGATTTTTGTTTTCTTGTGTGTAGAACAGTAATATAAAACGACTTTTTTTGGTGTGTGTGAAACAGTAGTAGAAAACAACTTTTCTTTTTTGTTTTTTTTTGTGTGTGGAACAATGGTGGAGGAAATCTTTTTTTTTCTGCGGGGGTTAAGATGTGAGGAACGGGAATTTTTTTAAATGAATTTTGTTTGATTTGCCACTGCTTTCTGCCGTGGACCCTGCTGTGCATTTGGGTTTGTGCGTCCCTTCAGATGCCTTACGCCTCTTCTCTTTTTTCTCTTTCCTTTTTTCCTACTTTGTTGAGCGTGGCAGTGGGCGCCCACAGCCACACGCGCAGGACACACACATTGCAGTGCAGGTGGATGCTTCCTTTGTACTCGATGCTTGCAGTTGCGTGCAGCTGCCGCTTCCTTCAGTGGGCGTGAGGGGAAGGGAGGAGAGAGAGTGCGCACCGCGAGTCTCTTTTTCTGTTGACGTGATACACCGCGTGTGACCGTGTGGGGTGAGGCGCCGCTTCATGGGTGGATAAGGATCCGCCTGCGCGTGTGGCTCTTTGTGCAATTGCTGGCTCTGTGAGCGTTGTGTGTTGTCTGCAGGGCCGTGGCCGTATCCTGTTGGCCGCGGGACTGAACTGGAGGCGGTGGCGGTGTGTCGCTTTTTCTTGCCCATTGTGGGTGACTGCTGGCGGTGCGCGCGTTTGTTGTGTGGAGGACCAAATCCTCCCACGCGCGGTCTGGCGGCACTGCAATGGTATGTGTGTGTGTGTGTGAGGGCTGGTGTAGGCGATGGTGCTCCCCGCTGTTCCCTCCGGATTCTCTTGTGTCCCGCTCTTTGCATGGGTGCTCTGCTTTGCTCCCCACGGACGTGTCTGATGTATTGCCGCTTTTTTCTTTCTCCACTTGTTGAGCACAGACACACGCTAGGAAGGAAAGCAAACAAACACTAAACGCTACTCTGAAATTGTAAGGCACTGAAAGGACCAACAGCAGCACACACACACACCGCCCACACACACATATTTACATGCTCTCACGTGTTGCTGCAGTCAAGGCACCCAACAAACACAACCGTCGCCGCATGACCGGATCCAGCGGAAGGAGGAGGGAAGGAAGAGAGGGTGAGCATCGGAGGCCTAACATGTCCCGGCATGTGTTTACTTCCGCTGTGCTGCTCCTCGTTATGATGATGTGCTGCTGCACCTGTGGAGCTGCGGCCGCTGGAGGAATAATGGGAAGAGTGGTTTAAGGAATTTTCGGAAGCTGCAGAGGGTTGATTTATTTGTGCCGCAGACGACGCAGTTGTTGCCGAAAGGTACGACTTCTCCAGAGACGAAGTTGGATTCATTTTGTTTCACCATCTCTTGTCAGTGCTGGTGGAGTAATTGCTGCTTTCGCCGAAGGCCACACAAACGCCAAAGTTCACACGAACGCCCAAAAAGACGGTGTCAAATTAATTACGCCCTTTTACTCTGATGTTGTTGCGGGGTACATTGACTCTGCGTGGAACTGGACCACTCTTGTTGACAAGGTCAATCAAGGCTCATGGAGGGCACACATCGTGCTTACTGCAGTGGATGGACAGAAACGTTTGGGTGGTATGCACCTCCCCACAACAACCATGAAGGGCAACAAGATATTTCTTTTGGGAGGCTTTGAATTTTTCAATGAACATGCGAGTATAATTTGGGACAGCCTGCATCTGACACTGGTTGTGGGTACTGTCACGAATTCTACGGGTGGCAAGCCGAGTGAACGGATCAGCTGGGACAACCACAAATCGCTGTCAGGCCTGAATACTTCTGCTGCTTTTTACAAACTTAAATTTGAGAGGGTTTTTCCTTCTGGTGGCTTGGGTGTTCTGATGGAGGGTGGCACGCTTGTGTTTCCCGTGGTTGCGTTTAGTGATAATGACGATTACTCCATGATCATTTATTCGACGGACAGCGGCGCAAACTGGATGCTTTCGAATGGAACGTCTCCTGCGAAATGCTTTAATCCTTGCGTCACCGAATGGGAGGGATCACTTCTCATGATTGTTGATTGCGAGGACGGCCAGAGGGTGTACGAGTCGCGTGACATGGGTACAAAGTGGACGGAGGCAGCCGGGACGCTTCCAGGCGTGTGGACCAAATCAAAATCGGCAGCCATTTGGGATCTGAGCTTGCACGTGGATGCCCTCATCACCGCGGCCATTGAGGAAAAGAAGGTCATGTTGTACACTCAGAAAGGGTATGCGTCGGGGGGGGTGAAGCGGAAAGAGCGCTCTACCTTTGGGTCACGGACAACAACCGTTCTTTTTATGTTGGACCTGTTTCCATGGAGGATGATGTGAATTGGGAGCTTGCCAGCACCCTGATGTACTCGGATGGCAAGTTGCATCTGTTACAACGGAGGGGCGATTATAAAAGCAGTGTCATGTCGCTTTCTTGTCTGACGGGGGAACTGAGTACAATCAAGTCCGTCCTCAGTACTTGGACAAAAAAGGACGCCTTCTTCTCCAAATTGGCCATACCCACGGCGGGTCTGGTGGCAGTATTGTCCGATACGGCCAGCAATGGCACGTGCATCGACGAGTACCTTTGTCTGAATGCGGCGGTGACGAAAGGAAGTAAGGCCAAATATGGATTTCAATTGACGGAGCCTAGCTCCAGGGTATCATGGTCCGTGAACACTCGGGTTAATAATGTGCGTCATATATCCTTGAGCCACAACTTCACACTTGTGGCGTTGGTGACCATCGAAGAGACTCCGAGTGGAAACACACTTCTACTGACTGCGACGTTGGCGGACACTAATTCCAATCATACCATGGGACTGTCGTATACGGCGGATAAGACGTGGGGGACGGGGCTTAAAGGCAAGACAACAACACAGAGCGGCCGTTGGGAGCCGAAGAAAGAACACCAAGTGGCACTCATGCTGCAAGGCAAAAGGCCTCTGTGTACATTGATGGTAATTCGCTGGGGGAGGAAGAATTGCCGTTAAAAGGTGAGGCGCCACTTGAGCTTTTTTGGTTTTGCTTTGGCGCGTGCGGTGAGGATGCCGGCCAAAAAACTAATGTGAAGGTGAAAAACGTCTTTCTGTACAATCGCCCACTGAATTCCACTGAGATGCGTGCAATCAAGGACAGGAAACCCGTTCCGACGAGAGCTCCAGAACCACAAGTGGAGAGAGCTACCACCACAGAACATGCGGCTGCGGTAAGCTTTACCTCTGCTGGGAGCGGACTGCTGCCACTGCTTCTTCTGCTTGGGCTGTGGGGATTTGCGGCTGCGTGAGGAGTGTGCGGCCTCAGTGTGGAGCACTTGTGCCCTTTCCTGCACTGACACACACACACCGCTAGGAATATATTTTACTACGCAGAGAATAATTTGTTTTTGTTTTCTTTTAATGTTCTCCATTTTTTCTTTCTGCTTTAGGGAAACCACTATAAGCGTTTTTTTTCGGCTTTTAATTTTTTTTCTTTTTTTCGGAGTATAATTTCGTATGTTTTTTATGTTTGTTTTTAATCATTTTTGTTTGCTTTTAAAAAAATTTAAGTTTTTTTTTTTGCCCCACTCCTTCTTTCCTTTTGCTTTTGGGGCAATCACTATGAACGCTTTTTTCTTTTCTACTCTTCCCTCTCTTCAATTGTTTCTTTTGCACTCTTCCTGTGAGGGGTGCCGTGTTTCCCGCCCAACTGCTCCACTCGCACACCCACCGACACGCTCATGACGACGGCCCTGTGCGCCTCGCCTGCTGCACGCATGAGGAGGGGCCGCGACGAACGGCGCGCTGAGGGAGCCGTGACGTGTGGGCGTGCGACGAGGGCCTGTGGGGCGGAGCACACATTTCTTTTCCTCTTGTTTTTTTTCTTTGCGGGCAGGGCGGGCAGACACCCGCAGCGCCACACACGCACAGCCACACCCTGCCGCCGTGTTTTTTTTTTTTTGCGCTCACTCTCCCGGTGGAGAGACGCGACTGCCGTCATGTCTGCGTGCTTCTCTCAGCCCCCACACACGAGTGACTGTGCTCTGCGGGCCGCACTCACGCACCAATAAGAGGGCTGAGGGGAGCAGCAACACGCAGATGACCCCATGAAATATAAACGATGTGCGGACAGACAGAGGGTCAGACGGTTGAAAGACATTTAAATATCTTTTAATTTTCGGACAAAATATATGCAGACAGCTTGGTGTGGCCACACGGCAGCCAGGCGAAATGTTTCTTTTGTGTGTAGTTTTTCTTTTCTTTTTTTTGGGTGGAACAGTAGTAGTGGACAATACTTTTTTTTTCTTTTTGTGTGGAAAAGTAATAAAGGAGAACAATTTCTTTTTTTTTGTGGAACAGTAATAAAGGACGACTTTTTCTTTCTTTTTATATAATTATTGTGTGCGAGGGGGGCTAATATATGATGAAAGGGAGTTGTTATTTTTAATTATTTTAAATAAATCTTGTATGAATTGCCTCTGCTTGGGTTGCAGTGCAGTTATGAGCTTGAGCAGCCTTTTTCTCTCTATTTCTGCCGTGCACCTCTGCTCTTCGTTTTTGTTTGTGCGTCCCTTCACATGCTCCTTTCATCTTTGTTTACATCTTTGACTCGTGCTTCTGCAGGCACACACAACCACATAGAATGCGCATTGCAGTGTATTTGGATGCTTTTTTTGTGGCGTGTGCTGGCGGTTGCGGGTGGCTGCTGCTTCTTCCGTGGGCATGAAGGGAAGGAGGAGAGAGGGAGCGCGCACCGCGAGTCACTCTTCCTGCGGGTGTGATGCGCGCGGTGGGCTGCGACGGATGTGGAGGGCCGCATCCTTTTGGTGTGCGCTTCTCCGCCGTTGTGCCGTGCGTTTGCGCATGCCATTTATTGTGCGCGTGCGTGCTGGAGATGTTTTTCCGGAGCGTTGGGCGGCCACCATCTGTCTATGGCGGTTTGTGTGAGTGAGCACGTGCGGATGAGGGTCAGGGCGTATGGAATGAAGGAATGGCTTGAGGAAAGGGGAATTTGATTTGGAGGGTATTCGGACCGGATTCATTTGGCTGCGGTGGACACATGCACGACGGATGTGTTTCTGCATAATTGGGGGAGGATGCGACAGGGTTTTCCGAATTGGCCTGTCAATGCAATTCGGGTTTCATGGCACTGAGGCACAGTGGTCTTCCTGCAATGGCTGGTGACGGCCCCTAGTGGAGTGGTGTATTTATTGCTGCTGCTGCTGCTGCTCGAGGAGGCGTAGAAGTGCGATTTGAGGTGAGCGACGGAAGGGTCACACATCCCGCAGTGACGGTTGTCGTTGGCCCAGCGGGTGCCTCTGAAGGTTTTGTTGGGTGCAACGTCCTTATGCTCGTCTCCGAATGGCGGCATCCCTGATGCAGCCAACGAACGGGGCTGGGAGCGACGGTGAGACGCAAGCACGTGTGGATGTTTGGAGCGGCCGGCGCACCGCACGCTGAGAGCATGGCACGGCGAGGACCGGACCTAGAAAAGGGACACCGCGTGGGACGTCAATCTTCACTGCAGCGACCGCCACCGAATTTGGATTTGCTCGCACCTTCTGCGGTCCCTCTTCCTCCCATCACTTCTGTGCCGAGGACTGTGCCGCGGGATCCAGCAGCGCGATGTTTGGCCGCAGGAACATGGCCCGAACAAATGATTTGTGGGAGGAGATGTGCACTGCGGCGAAAAAGGAAAAAATAGTTGCGAGACGACCACCACGACAAGAACGGTGTGAAGTTGTGTTTTGTCCACTTGCGCGAGGGCGGCCTGCCACCTGGTCGGTTAGGAGGATTATTTTATTTTGCGTCGTTGCGCTCTCTTTATATTCCGCTGCGTTTTCTTGCGGACCTGTGAAGGGAAATTTGCAGGAAATTCCTGCGAGGCGTCCGTGCCGTCGTCGGAAAAGCGGATTCCCCCTTGAAAAACGCTGCTTT